TAAAGGAAAAGTACTGCATTCAGCATATGTTAATGTTAACTAATACTGGCTCAGGTTAGAATGATAATAAATTATTATAATTAAACTGTGTAATAGCATTGAGCAGGATTAGAAGAGGAATGAGGATGGAGATAGAAGAATTGATATTATATTTAACAGCAAACAAATCTGGTATATTGAATCATATTGTATGTATCAGCATATTATAGATCCTATAATAGATTTACAGGATCAGAATGCAGCATTAGCAGAGAATAAGAGAGAGATAGAGTATTTGCAAGAACAAATATCATCAACTAGTGTACAGTTACTTATGAAAAGAGAAGAGAACAAGAAGTATAAAACTGCAATAAAAGGTTTATCAGTAATATTTGAGCTGCTTTAATAATTTTTTTTCCTTTTAGATGAAATATCTCACAAGTACAAATTGTTATTGACCTCAATGCTCATTTGTGTACTTATTGTTGTTTCAGAGAAAAGAAGTTATTAGAAGATGAAGTAGTCTTAGTAGTGAAGGGGCAGGGTGAGACTGAAGATGAAGAAAAATTAATAAAGGAGAGTGAAAATTTAGACACAGTAAGAAACTAAAAATTATTCTCTAACTTGTTGTAACATTCTCTTTATTCAGTTATCATCATTAGAAATGGAACCGTAAGTGCACACTCATTCATAATAATTTTTCAGTATTGTTTGGGCAATTATTCTGTTAAGAAATATATAATCTTTTTTTCAAATACAATTTAGCACATGCATGCATACAAGAGTATTCTGCTGTCTTTTAAATTGTTATGGGGAGAAAGATCATTTCAGTTGAGTGCATTGGCCCGTATCCAGTTTGCTGATGCCTGTTAATTTCATAAATAATTGTATTATTTCAGTTATATAAGCAAAAATCTAGCCATTTTATGTATAATGTGTAAAATCAAGAGCAAGACTCATATATTCTTTGTCTTTTTTATCACTTTCAGTTGGTTCCATGAAAATGTAAAAGATAAACCAGGTGCTGATGCAATATTGGAGGATTTTAAACATATTCCAGGTGCTTTTATTGTCAGAAGAAACATTCTTAAATATTTCTTGTCATTTGTGTGAGTCTTTTATTTGTCAGTTTGTACAGTACACACAGCCATGTGTCATTGCTAAAGGCTACATGTAGAAGTACTAGAAAGATTGTGCTCTAAAACTCTTCTTTGAATTTGTCTTGTCTTCTCTATAGCCATAATTTTAGAATCCATCATCTTGGTATATCCGAAATAAATGATGAAGGAAAAATAAATTATCGTATTAGTCGAGATTCCCCGTCCTTTGTCTCAATAGTAGACCTCATTCATCATTATTGTCTGTATCATATCAATATTGATCAAATCTCTCAAAGGCTCACTGTACCTATATCTAAAAATGAGGTAAAACTCACGACAAGATGTATGATCTGCACAATGCATTATGGCACATGTACATGACTACATGTATTTTTGCATTATTGCTCTATAATTTTCTTTTTGTCGCTCTCTTTCCATTCTCTTACATATAAGAAACAGCCATGGCATAAACAGCCATGGTATAATGAAGATGTATCCAGAAAGAGTGCTGAATACATGTTAGAAAGAGTAATACCTAAGAAAGATGGTACTTTTTTAGTCCGTCCTTCTAGTCAAGGACACGACACATGGGCTATCAGTTTAATGTAAGATCCTTTATTTACAGCAAAAACCTTCAAATAGAACATAGAACCTGCATATTTCATCCTATACTCTTCTTATGCCCCTCTTTTTTTATAGAAGTGGTAATTCCATTCGCCATTTCAAATTTTTTGGCAAAGATGGTCAGTTTGAAACAGGAAATAGGACTTTTGACAGCATGGTTGAATTGGTTGATTTTTACAAACAGAATCCAATTTATGCAGGTACGAAGCTAAAATATCCCATTAATGAAGAAATACTAAATCAAAAAGTGAGTTGAGTTTTTCTTCCTACAATTGCCACTAGGTTTATATTCACTTGTCTGTTTTCTTTTAATAGTATCCCACACACGAGTTCATAGATGATGTACTACCGTATAGACAGTAAGAAGGATGGTTCAGAAATTATGATGAATTTTAATTTTATTTTTAAAAATATACATCAATAATAATTGTGGACGTACAATAAATGTACTTGTTGTATAGTTGACTGAGATCAAAGGAAACTCAATGTTTCTATATCCCTCAAAGTAGTGAAGGCACTCTTAGATTTGTGGTTAGAAATACGTCTTTATCAATTCATCACATTCTGCACTCTGCAGCAATAAAAGTTATTCTAGCCCCACCTCCTCCAAGCCAATGGCTACGCTAGTATCTTCTCCTTTGTCTATTGGTAAGAAGTAACGTATATCTATCTATATACATGTAGTCTGTTGCTCTGTTCTAATAGATCAGCTTGTAGATGTCATTGATTTGTTAAAGAGGTCAGGGTATCCTGAAACAAGATGGCAAGATCTGGGATTGAGACTAGGACTACACAAGAACACACTGGACGCCATTGAAAGGAATCATCCTGGTGATGTATCTCGCTGTTTGACTGAATGTCTGTCTAAGTGGTTACGTAAAGCAGACAATGTTAATAGTAAAGGAGGAGCTACCTTTGACTCACTGTCAGATGCTCTTAGATCAATGGATGAAATTGCTGTAGCTGACAAGTTAGATCAAGAGAGTAAGTTAACAATGTATTGTTAATAATTTCCTATTCCAACTATAGGACGTAATGCTATGGCTACTTGTATTTTTGATTCTCATTGTCATAACCTTTCACAGTCTCTCTGTGATCCAGTCAGTGTAGCATG